TGCCACTTGGATTATCCTCCACCTGCCAAAAAAGGAAAGATGATTCATCATCACACATAAGTTAGATGACAAGAACTATGGCCCAACTCTCTCAGAATGATTAGACAGCAATTACTGACACTTGGATTATCCTTCACCTGCCAAAAAAGGAAAGATGATCCATCATCACACATAAGTTAGATGGCAATAACTATGGCCCATCTCTCTCAGAATGATGAGACAACAATTACTGCCACTTGGATTATCCTCCACCTGCCAAAAAAGGAAAGATGAAAAAACTTTCAGATCAATGCCTTACTTGGAAATAATCCATTTTTGAAAATAAAAAAGCTATTATCCGATAGCAACTTTCCTATAGATCTAATCTTCTCATCAATATTGCCACTATCTAAGAATGGACTGTCTGCATATAAGTATCTTAAAAGGATAAAGGGGGGTGGCAACTGTACAATGAGATCACCAAGGTCTGCTTGACGGATATTCTTTATTGGTGCCAGTAGACATTAGCACAGTGTTGTGGCATGACCAATAAAAAATCAGGTTGCAAAAAACATCTAGAAATATAATGAGTGACACAGTCGCTGAAGGATTTATGTTGGTAAATAAACCACCAGTGCCACTTCTCCGTGAACTTATCTGTTATACAATTTGTCATTTCTGATTAAAGAAAATTGTGAATTAAAACAATATCGGAATATTTGATATCATCTGTAAACTGACACAGACACATTGTCATAAAGATAAGTCAAGCCTGGATGTCATCCAAGATATCCACTGGTTGAGTGTGGCTATTTCAACTTACACATTTAAGTTCTCCTAAATAGAGAGATTTTACTTGCTTTTCATTATGACCACTTCTTTCATTCATTATGTAAAAGCTCCAAGCACTTTGCCTTAAATGGGAGGGGCAGATCCTACCAAAAGGTAGGGATTCTAGTGAGTTAGGGTGAGACTGAATGACTTAGTTGACTTTGTTTATAAAACACGAGTCAGTTGACTTTGTTTATAAAACACGAGTTAGTTGACTTTGTTTATAAAACACGAGTAAGTTGACATTGTTTATAAGACACGGGTAAGTTGACATTGTTTATAAAACATGAGTAAGTTGACATTGTTTATAAAACACGAGTAAGTTGACATTGTTTATAAAACACGAATAAGTTGACATTGTTTATAAAACACGAGTAAGTTGACTTTGTTTATAAGACACGGGTAAGTTGACATTGTTTATAAAACATGAGTAAGTTGACATTGTTCATAAAACACGAGTAAGTTGACTTTGTTTATAAAACATGAGTAAGTTGACATTGTTTATAAAACATGAGTAAGTCGACTTTGTTTATAAAACATGAGTAAGTTGACTTTGTTGAATAGGTTTCGAGATACAATAGTTGGTTAGAATTATATAAACGAGTTTTTTCTTATGTGGAAAATAACTTGTATTAAATATTGAAAAATATTTTATTACATTTTGATCACGCCACCAAGTGACAATAATTGTTAAAAAAAACACCCTTCACGTCGAGCACTTAACAAATTGCATTGATTTGTGGAAAATTATTGTGTGGGCCATTTGTAAAATGACTACGTAGTTACTGAAGACGACCATATATATGTTTTGTTTTTTAATAAGCGATTTTGTATATGCTTGTTTCAGCAACATTAGCCATTGTTAATCTTATGTTTTATTATTGTGTTACTTCTTTTTATTATCGTATATTTTTATTACAGAAGAACTTTGTAATTGGAACAACACTGTGACCAAGACAGACCTCCGGAATACAAGCTATATTATTCATGTTGATGTATTTTCACAGTTTCTTATCGGTCGTAAAACAGTGATGATAGAAATCCCAATGCCTGAAGCCTCGTTCGTTATTATGCTTTGCTTATTAGTTCGTATTCCTGTCTCTAGAACAGAAGAAGTATTTCACCTGAGAGACCGTCATCATTATTTAAGATACAGAACATTCAATGACAAAAACTTGATCACCTCAAAAGAAAAGGCAGAGGTAAAGTTGTATTGTGTCGTTCATTTTTATTACTATTGTTTTTGCTAATAGGGTATTTCTTAATTTATTTGAATTCTTTTCTTTACTTCTAATTCCCATTTTGTTCCCTTTCTGAACAAAGTCAGTTTTTGTCTCATATTTCTCTGAACAAAGTCAGTTTTTGTCTCATATTTCTCTGAACAAAGTCAGTTTTTGTCTCATATTACTCTGAACAAAGTCAGTTTTGTCTCATATTACTCTGAAAAACTCAGTTTTTGTCTCATATTTCTCTGAAGAAAGTCAGTTTTTGTCTCATATTACTCTGAACAAAGTCAGTTTTTGTCTCATATTACTCTGAACAAAGTCAGTTTTTGTCTCATATTACTCTGAACAAAGTCAGTTTTTGTCTCATATTACTCTGAACAAAGTCAGTTTTTGTCTCATATTACCGTTCATTATATATATATACATTTAAATGTCAATATTAGCAACATAGCATAAATACCTAGATGACATTATCCTCCTTTTCTGTAGTGGTAAATATTACAGTATTCCTTCCAATAAAATATACATACATTGAGTAAAGTCATCGGATGCTAGCGAGATTTAAATATTAAATTAGACCTAAGTAGTTTTTGAATCATGAAAAGAAGAAAGTCCACATACAACCTCGTTCATTGTGTTAATTTTTAAAGTTGAAATATGATTTACAAGTTAACGCGATTGCTGTGCTGGAATAACTCTTTTGATTAATGATTATTTTTATAACTTACCAGAGAATACTTAACTTTCACATTCATCAAACAAATAATCAGTGTAATTAAATTAGAAAAATACAAATAGAAAAGCAATTTTAAACGTTTTTAGATTTTATCTCCAGTCTTTAAAAGCATGAAGTGTTATAGTTAGTATCTCACAAGTATTGTATTTGCCTAGTTACAATCTCATTTAAAACTGAATATTCGACCTGGACAGTACAGCCGATGGTCGGTTAGTTTGTAGAAAATCTCACTTATCTAACAATAGAGTTCGCAAAGATTTTACAGTGTACAGCAGAGAAGTGTTACAAAAATAGCATTTATATTAAAAAAAAGAACTCCACGTCAGAAGCTTGATCTGAATATTACTTACTTTCTTTAATAAATAGAATAAGAAACCAGGGAAAGCACGCGTGTAAGACACGTGCACTTTCAATATTCCAGTTTATTTATCGTCACCCTATCCAAATTATCGCAAACAGTTCAAATATATTTATCTCTCTCTCCAGGAAAATTTAATTTTACAAAAGGATATATTGACAGCTATGTGATGAAACGGATGGCTGTGGTTCCTCTTTATTTGACCATCTTTCTCGCGAAAACAACTGATGATTTTGTGGTGTTGCCAACAGCTTGTGAACGTTCGGCTTGTTAACTTTTATCAACCTCAGTTATTTCTTTTGGTGTTTTGTGAATGGTGTAAGGAAGTAGAGTTCTTTAAATATTTGTTTAACAACAAGTAAAAGCTTGGAATTGTCTATTCTTTCATTGAGGGGTCTGTGTCTGTGAGCCAGGCTAGTTTCGGAGAATTCCACTCCTCATCAGTGGCCCTGGACACTACC